AAAAAAAAGAAATAAAAATTAAGAGATTTCAAGCCAAGTTACTTCACGACGTTTCGATTGTTAGTACCACAATCGTCTGCATGGGTTCTGTGTTATATGCAACTCTGGAACTCTGTACTGTCAAAGGAACGACATTAACTATACCTACCGTTTTTTCAAAACAGCTCGTCTAAATGAAATTAAGCACTTCTATTCGGTGAACCAAATAAGTCGTATTGGTCTTCATGGAAACTGGCATGCTTCGCACTAGTATAGCAACTCGTACACCAAAGGCATCTTATGAAAAACTATTTGAATAATAGAGTAGATCAAATTTATATCGAGTTATTCAAAATTATGATTTATAGTTGTTCGAACACCTCTGAAAGCTCATGGCTAGCGCATATTGCTTTTTGAACAAATTATCTGTTATTGTTATGTTTGTGAACATGACGGCTGCGGGTTTTCTGAATTTTGCGCTTCCTGTAAAGATGAAAGTTTCTCGGCGTGTTCAATACATTAAGATTTTTTATTTACAATTGTATCGTTTCTCGAGAGCACTGGAACGCTATCATTCATGACGTTTTAGTATTGATGAATCGTCACTAGCATTAGCAAGTATGGTGGCAGAAGATCGTCGAAAGGAATGCTCTGTGTGGCCACTTCAGATTAGGAAATTTTAAAAAACTTTCTTTTACCGTAGTCATGCTGTCAAACTTAATAGTGTCTGCAATTTTCTGGAACATTTTCCTATTTGTTTATGCTTCAGAAAAATGCCATACATACTTTCTGCGATTTAGTATTTTTTTACACACTCTGAACTCTGTGAAAAAAATTAACAAACTTGCTTGCGTCTAGTTTCGTTCAAAAAAAAAAAATCAAAAAACTTGTTTTAGTTTCGAAAACAAACTTGATTGCACCAGTCAAAAACTGGTATAAGTCGCGCGTTTTGTCGTGAAATGTTCTCTGTCGTTTCCACTATACAAACAGTTTTTATCATGCTTTCTCTAGAAGATGTTTTTTTAATGACTTGCGATTTTAAAATTTTCAAAATCTTTTGAGTGAAAGCCAAAAAAATCAAGATACTGGATGAAGGCATTATTAAGAAGACGAAGATATTATGGAATGGAAAAAATTATGGCAGATTTGACGATGACAGGAAAAAATTGAAAACTAAGATCATTGAAATTTACACCCAAGACAGATCAACACTTTGAATATAATAATGTTACACACCAAACAAAATAATGCACTGAATAGTTGCTTGTTGTCGCCGACCATTTCCATATAGGGAACTCTACAAAAACAAGACAAAACACCGAAACTTTTTGATACGGAAAGATCAAAAAGAACGGAAAGTCTTCAAAATGTTGTCTTTTGATACCTCAAGTTTTTGTTTTGCCGAAATCGATACAGTTGCTATTTTGTTGTGGTTTCTGGCCTCCCTTTCTGTGATTTGGTGTTTTTATAGCAGTCGTGGAGGAACAATATTTAATTTCATTATTGTTCTACAATGTTTAAGCCAGTTTTCATTCATGGAAAGTTATATTAAGGGAGAATGAATTAATCACACTATCTAGATATCTTTGATGAACCTTTTTCCTGAAGTTCGAAAAATCACTCACTAGCAGCGCTAGTAGTTCGGTAGGGACAAACACTGCCTAATCCTCATATAAACATATGGTAAAGTACAATTAAAAAAGAATGTTTTCAACAGAAGAAAATGTTCCTGGAGCAAAATTAAAATTTGCAACTGTAAAGGATAACAATGTTGTAACATTAAAACGTTGGCTTGCATGCCGTGATTTAAAAGTAACTGGAAAAAAAGTGAATTAATAGACAGGTTAGTATACAGACTCCAGTAAAAGAGTAGCGGTAGATTCAAACTGTAATAAATGAAATTAAAAATAATTATGAATTTCAGATTTATTTCCGAGTGAAATATGAATCATATATAGATGGTAATGAAATAAATTTCATTAAATATAATAAATGAATATGATTTAATAAACGATTGAGGTTATATCCCATTCTAATCAAAGGTAATTATGCAAAATTTACTATTCATTTCATGTTTAGAGCATACATTTGAATATTTATTTATTTTTTGCACCGTTAAATCTACTCTCCTCGAAGCATGTATCCATTTCTTACATCTAACCTATAATGAGGTTTCATAAATGGTATAAAAAACACGTTTTATTCCGGACATCGATTATCCGACGTACAATTTGCAAAACAGCAATGCGTTGTTAGCATTATACTAGCCCAAAATAATTTTTTATATCAGATTTATATTTTTAAATAATAAATTAATATTACGTAAATAACACTGTTTTACATGTGAATAGTTTATGTTTGTCCCTACTACAAGTGCTGCCTCTCGTGACACGTTCGCTGTACTATTCCCAGGAAAAAGGCTCAGTAAAACAAATTTAAATAATAATTCCAAACTTTTTACAAAGATGCACTTCGGAAAATGTTGAGGGTCCTGTGAGTTGGAAAAAGGATATCAATAAGTGAAATATTATTGAACAATGGCATTAATTTATTGAAGGTCAATAACATATCACAGAACATTCAAGAAAAATATACCTAATCAAAAAATATATTGGCATATAATTAAACCTGTGTATCAACCAGTTCATTATTCCCTTGGTTTCAGCATATTGTAAGCATAAAGTTGATCTGTTTGCCTTCTTGACTCCCAGAGAAATATTTTGAGATTCCAAGATACCTTTAAAAGTTTGCTTTTTGTATAAAGAAACCATATAATTTCTTGAAGGATATTCAGGAATATTGGAGCTTCCGAACCTTTCATCATTCCTTCCGATTTGAAATTTCATGTAATTGGAACTAGATTACCAGATCCAGTGAAAAAAATGCTTTGAATTTAATTAGAATGTTTCTTCCCAATGTCACTATTTTCCGGGTTTGACGGCCGTGGAATTTTAGAATTTCTTCCTGACGTTTCGCTGGAGTGGCTAGCTTCCTCAGAGGTTTATATATCCTGAGTTAATATTTCCGATGTCATCGGAGATATCATCTCCGGAGATATTATCTCCGATGTCAGGAAGAAATTCCAAAAGTTCAAGGCCTTCAAACCCGGAAAAAAGTGACACTGAAAACCTCAGCCGCGAAAGCCTTAACCATTTTGTCGATGTTTCTTCCCGTTCGAATTTCTGAATGGTTTCATCCATGGATGTAAAATATCAAATCTATCTCGGAAGACTCCATGAATATATGAAACATCACATATTTTTGTTTTCATAATCACCCAAATGATTGAATTGTCTGCGCCACTGTCGTGTAAAGGGGAAGTCACAGTCTACCACAGGTCTCCTCTTTCGCCGTAACCAGCCCTCGAGTCTAGCCATTTCAACACAGACTGTGTTGTACGAACTCCATTTTCCAGCCAATTTATTTTTTTGTGTCCATCTTTTTACCTAACAATTCATCACTGTTTCTTAATGTACTAAAATGAGAATTTTTACATATATCTAAGCTTATCGATAAATAACAAATGCAACACATTGAAGAAGATTTGATAGTTGAATTCAAAATAAGCCCGCCATGGTGGAAGATTTTTCATAGAAAAGCATGTAGGCCGTACTCTGCAATACCTCGTCTATCGATACCTCTCTTATTTCCACGTCAGAAGTGTAATACCATCTATAAAATAAAAGCGATTTCAACACTGAGATCCAATTGTGAAATGTTTGGAGCATTTTTTTCGAAATTTTGTATGGTTTACCTGCTGTTGTGGTGACCTCTCCTATAAGTTATGAAATGACCCGAGTGAGCATCCCCTGCGTGTACAACAACTGCGGCAAGTTGATACACGTTTCTAAATTCATTGGCCATGTCCCCGAGAGAATTTCCTGCCCAATACGAGGGCGTATTGCTGGATAAAGGGCTGCCCCCCTCACTTGTGCTGGTGTATGTCTGTAAAGTACGCATACGTTACCATGAACAATACAAATATAAATTTACTGGTGAAATAAATATAATGGATAAAAAACTCACTGAATTTGGTAATTTTCTTTGATAGTGGACTTGAATGAAAGTGTAGGCAGACATGGAGAGCCTCATTGGAAACTGGACGTAGTCCTGTCTTTTGGATATACCTCCCGGTTGCCAAGTATTTCGAGATATATGGATGCACAAACACATTGGCAGCTGCAACACATTTTTTAATGTTCTTAATAATTTGCAAGACATTTTTGACGAATAAAAACTGCAATTTGTTCAAAGAGGCCGATTCAAAAGAAATATATTACATAATAAAAATTGCCTGTATTTTTGGTTATTATGAATAACTGAATTACAAAATAATATACAAATTATTATTCTTTGAAAGACATTTTTTTGTGGAGGACTCAATACTTGTGCAGATCTCCGGTGAAACACGCTTATTTATTTATTTATTTATTTGACACTTTGGTACATTGAGTACATGTGCTAAGTCATAATTAAAAAACAAAATAAAACTACAGAAGTTGAACAATACAAAAACAATAAATATGGTTCACGTCCACAAACTTTCACAACATAGAAGTATTATATAAAAAATCGGAGAAGCTCTAGCAAATACTCTCAAAATGTCGTGAAAAAGTGTCGTGCAAGAATTCCTCAAGACCGTATTAACACTTCTGTAAGAGAAGTTTCTTCACCTCAATTTTAAAAAGTTTATCTTTCCTAATAGATGCCGGCAAGTTATTATAACAGTTTGTTGTATTAAATAGTGGGGAGCATCTAAAGTGAGCCGTTTTGTGTGAGGGGGTTCTTAACAGTTTCCCATGACGGGTGTCTCTACCATGTATATCCGCGTTTGTGACAAATTCAGTTATATTGTTAAGGGCAAAAGTGACACACTTCAAGATAAATAAAGAAGGTGCCGTCAATAGGCCCTCTCTTAAGAAAATTGGTCTACAACTATCTTGAAAATCTATATTAAAAATTAGTCTTAGCAATCTTTTCTGAGCAACAAAAACTCGTGGAAATTCCCTTGCACATCCCCAAGAAATGATATTAAAGCTGATGTGAGAATAAGCCATAGAAAAGTAGACATTCATCAATCCAGAATTATCTAGAGTGTTTTTCAATTGTTTGTTTGAGTAATATGCGGAATTGAGTTTATTGCAGACCTTCTGAATATGACCGCTCCAGGTCAAATTTTCGTCTAAAGACGTTCCTAAAAACAAGACTTCGCTGGAAGATCGAATACCATTTATTGTGGAAGAGTCACTGCTGAAATTTTTCCTAATAAATGATTTCATTGAAACAGATTTAGATTTATTCAGAATAAGTTTGTTACGTTAACCCCAAGCAGTGAATTTATCTATTATTTTATTTATTTTGTCTGACAACTCAACTTCGTTTTTGTCGGCCACAGTAATTGCAGTGTCATCCGCAAACATGGTTATGTGACACTCAGAAAAGAATTCAGACAGGTCATTTATGAAATTGAGGAACAACAATGGTCCCAGGACAGAACCTTGATGCACTCCTAGTTTTACATCTTTGGGACTTGATAAAATTCCATTGCAGCTAACTATTAGACTACGGTTTTCCATATATGATTTCGCCCAGTTCAATAGATCATTTGGGAAACCTAGGCCTGCAAGTTTAATTATAAGAAATTCGGAAGAAATGGTATCAAATGCTTTTGACAAATCGAAAAAAAGTGTTACAACTAGTTTATTCGAGTCAACCTGTGTATAAATGAAATTTAATAAATAGTATGAAGCTGATTCAATTGATTTGTTCTTCCTGAAGCCATATTGGTTATTACTAAAAAGATTATTTTGATCCATGTAATTCAGAATTCTGTTACTAACAACTTTCTCAAACAGTTTAGAGAAGGAACAAAGTAAAGATATCTGTCTGTAGTTGTCTACCTCAGTTTTGTCGCCTTTTTTATATAGAGGAAATATGAGAGCCGTTTTAAATACATTTGGAAAACAACCTACAAAAAATGACTGATTCATCAAAAACAATAGTGGCTCGATTATAAGGTCTACAATTTTTTTCACAGTAACTATTGAGATACCATCAGTACCTGCGGAGTTTTTATTTGCCATTGTTTCCAGAGTACCTGGAATTTCTGTCTTTGTGAATGGGGATTTATCGAAGAGATACTGACTAACAGTATTCTTTGAATAGGTACAGGGAAGTAATACATTTTGACCAAAGTGCTCTGAGATGAGCAATTCGGCAGAAGATGAAAATAGAATAGTTTTGCAGTTCTGGTGAGTGGAAAGTGTTTTTTATGACTCAAGGTTTTACCTTTCACAGTCGGAAGTTGAAATTTGATTATCAAGGTTGGGTACTGTGGTCCAACAAAGAGATCAACTTGGAACATTTTGATAGGCTGCTAACCACCGCTGAAGATGCCCACAGTAGTAATGTGTGAAACGTCTGGAGTTAGTCTCTCCATTGGACCACGGCTTCCTAGCCTGGATAACCAAAGTTCAAATTTTCTGTATATTACCTAATTTTGAGTCATTCAATATTTATTTGTCTTATCTTAGTGATTCTTGAACTATTAAATATGAAAAACTACTGACCTTTCCAAAATTTAAAATTTTGATTTGCCTGGACAAGACAGGAGGTCTAGCTGGATCCCTGCCTTTATTACAGCCTTCGCACTGAACGTCCTGAACAACCTCGGGAGTGACAAAGTTGGTGAGAAGCTGATGTAGTTTGTGCCTGCCCCAACCCAAGTCACCAGCTCCACTTGGAAGAGCAAGAGATAAGCTTTCAAACTTGTCATAACGAACAGCAGACTGAAAGTTATCCAAAATTTAAAAAACACAGTACTTTCAAAATAATGTTCAAAGTTTCAACCTTGAAGCCGCATTCAGTGCAGCGCAGTTGACTGGTGAGAGTGCCTGTAAAAGGATGCGTTACTGGCTGCGCCGGTGGACCCGTCATCTGAAGAGCCCTGCATGACCTAGAAATCCACCTGTTTCTCCTTATTGCTCCCCCTCGCCAAGAGAGACTCGTTGGCCTGCAAAGTTCATTCAAAGACATCACACTGCCTAGAGAGTTGAATTCCCCTTGATCCTCTTCTTCTGGTTCGAGTTCTAATTCATTCATTCCCAAAGCGTCTGACAAACAACCAGCCTATAAACAGAAACTCTGAATCCACCACTGCACCATTCCTCAAACACTTACTTTTCTCCCAATTTTTTGAGTCTCCTCATCCAAAGTAGTCAAAATGACATTCAACAGCTCATGCGCATCTTGTTCCCCTGCAGGTATAACCCAACCCAATCTCTTGAGGGCATTTATAACTGCCGCAGGAGCAAAAGTCTCTTGAACCGATTTATTTGTACCATTTACCACTGAAAAATAGTAAAATATTAAGTCAATTTTCCGTCTACACATATACTTTAAATCTACCTGATAATACTGTGGCGAGTGTCCCCCGTAAGCTGGTTTCTTTTATGTATTTATCTTTTTCGAGCCAAGTAATGAAATTTGGGCAAGCTGCGAGAGCGTGAAGAATAGCATTCAAAAAACAAGTTTTTCCCAAATTTACCAGACCGGCCAATCTTCCTCTTCCGCCCCCAGATGAAGGGGACGGCCCCCAAAATATGAAAGCTCCAACTACTGCTGCTGCAGTTAACCCAGCAGCCACCAAAATTCTCTCGGATTCCATTTTAATATTGGAAAGTTAATTCAATAAACCATGACCATTATTACAATAAGCATAGTTATACTTTCAGATTCACATAATGTTCATTTCATCAGTTAGGGGCGCAAATTTGTGAATTTCTATTTTAATACAAGTTTGTACCAATTCAACACCCTAAGTGTAACTATTCAAATTCAGTGCCCAAAATCCAAAAATACAAACATTATAAGTCTCCTATATTTCTGTCAAATGTCGATTTTATTTCTCTCACATTTGATACCATATCACAGATATTGCGTTTCACTGAGCGTTCACAACGGTCACGCTCACACCGAAGTTTTTACTTGCGAGTGTCATAAACTCAAGTGGAATGGATAATGGAGCATTCATGTAAACATTACAAATGGCGAGGTTGATATTTGTTGATGCGTATCAATAGTGTTCAAGAAACTAGTTTAGATGAAGAGTGGAATCCAATTTCACAAAATTATAATCGTGAAAATCCGAGGACATCGGCTGAGGATCCACATATTTAGCAACAAGAGGTTGCATATCTCAATGAGGATCGAGACGTAAAAGTAACTAACAACTTCAATTACAACCTTGATTTCAATTCGACTTAGGTCGAAGCTTGATTTTGATTCGACCCAAAAATCAACTTTGACCACAAGCTTGACTTTGCCTTGAACAATTTTTCTGAATTTGCCTGGCAGAACTTTAAGGTGAAAAAAAAAACTGTTGTCAAAATCCTAACAACTTAATTTATAGTAAAATTACAAACGTAGAAAGTACCTCCACGTAATTTACTCTTGCAACAAAATTCATATTGTATCTTCAAAACTGGAATAATTCCTGCTTGATGATTTCTAATCAAATCAGCACTTCATGTTCTCCATGTGAAGGAAGGCACAATAAAGACCTTTTTGAAATTTTTTCCTACATACAGAATCGGTTTTAGTTCGAACCCAGGTAATGTACCACCTGTTCTATCGGTCTCTTCCATATACACAGAGGGCGCCCGCCGATTCTTCGTATGATATCCTCGCAAACGTAGGTACACCTCTTTTACCGAATAAAAGAAGAAGAATACTTGACATTCGTTTGTTTATCTAACGGTAAAACGAACAAAATAAACAATTGATATGGAATTCAAAAAGCTGTCAGGTGGCTATGATTTACAGAGTATTGTTGCAGACTACTCAGTGGAATCCTAGATCTGTGAAAATAGAAATTTAAATTATTGGTAGATTACAATCTACAAGTTAAAATTGACAAAAAGGTTTTTTCATGTTCAGATTGCCTGGGAAACACTAAAAATGAAAAGTGGAAAAATGAAATGTTACAGCACCCTTCTCCTTACAAAGAAAAGTTTGATCTTCGAATTTTTCGGTCAAGTAAGATTGTGAATCATACTCTTATTTATGGGCAAAATATACCAATTTTGTTATTTCAGTGACTAATACTTATAAAATTAATCTTTTCCAGAATGGAGGTTGAAAACGATTAGCAAGGCACCTCATACTTGCATCTCTGCGGACTAACTAACTAAACATTCATGTTCATAAGCTGTTACTGGTTCCCCCCCCCCCCCCTCACATCAATTGGGGTGAAATGGAGCTCCACCAAACCTCAGAAATTCGAAGATGTTCTCATCTGTGATACTGTGAATAATTCTTCATTAGTGACGAATCCATAGAGTTGAGGATTCTCCAGTAGTACCGCTGAACTGCCCGTGGTAGAGCTTCACTTGATGACCGGCCTGACCTCCTTGAATAGCCTAACACACCCCCCAAAGTCCACCCTTCCACGAATTCTGCCTTATAAGTGAAACCGTCGTGAATTGACTATGCTCGCACCTAACGCAAAAAATGGGAAGGAATTAAAATGCATGATACCAAGTTGCCTTACATTTGATATCTTAGCAGCTACTTCACAATACTCTCTACGTAGGATAGTGCAAGGTCTGAAATACATTTTAACAAACTACCTCAACGAAGCTTGAAAGATCATCACTCAAAACAGTTGCATAGGTCAGTCGTCTACTCAAAATTTGCAGCTTGAGCTCCATATAAAGCAAGTTTCCATGATGCTCACCCAAACATTGTGATTAGCCATCCAGCTATCAAATCAGTACTGAAAGCTCCATATCAAACACACTCAGCATTCGAATATCAACTGCCACAAGTTGCACTATAATTAATACTTCATGTGGTGAGTATCCGAATGAAATCTATTCACAATTAAATCATCAAGGGTAGTCTAATTTCTACTTAACGTCATTTTTTTTTACAGAAACGAAGCCTCTCTAGGAAGTGAGATCCATGGAATAACCAATAGTATTCTGAAATGATAGAAGAATTCTCAAATACGAGTATGGCTTTAAGTGCAAACAAGGTAAGTGTCTTTTGATCCTATTAAATACACAAATCGCGGTGCTACTGCCGTGCGTATGGAAAGATTTATGTTCCACCCACTATATGGGGTCCTGCCAAATCCAAGGAGCTCTACACATAAGTGAGGGACAGCCAGATTTTGTTCCAAATTCTACCAAGATATATATCTCAAATCCTAAATTCAATTATATATAGAATGTACAGGTACATATTAACAAATTGTGAAGTTGGCCAAACCACACAGATTCTGATCCATAAAATGGTTTAAATTTTGAGATGTGACAAGTCCCTGCATTGGAACCATCCGAATTTTCTAACTAAAAAACTATTTTTAATACGGCTCTCTTAACTCTACATATTACAAAACATATGACACCGTATTCATTTGCAGCATCAGAATGTATAAAATTTCGTTTCCAGACCTATTCACCTAAGTACTTGAAAAACTCCAACTTTTCACTATACATTTTTCTAGCTTGGGTATTATTGTTCCATTCAGAATTGATTACATCACCATAATATTCACCATTAGCTGGAACATGAGAAGAAGAATTGATAGAATGTTGAATTGTGGAAATTTCCTTATCTCACTGTTTATGGGAGTCTCATAACTGTACCTATTGTCCTATTATTTCTCTCTGTGGAATTTTCATTTGGTTGCAAACACATTATGCTAGCAATAAAACTTGAGGAATACCAAAACTCAAGACAAATTCCTCTAAAAATGTAATGATAGCTTGAGCTGTGGCGTTTCTAATAGGTTTCATTATAACGAACTTTAAAAAACAATCTGAAACTACTATCGGGAACTTATTATCCTTGGAACTTCTTGAAAAAGAACCCATAACATTTGTACTAATAAATTGAAATGAAAAACTAGCCTTTTCTCTCTGCTCCCATCATACAAAAACGTTGAACATTGATAGATTTTTGACTGCAGCAAATTTGACATTCTCTGCTTACTTTGAAATATTCTTCCTATTTTGTGGCCAATAAATTATTCTGCAACTTTTATTAAAGTTTTAAAATATCCTAGATGATCAGATTTTGCAATATTATGCGAATCATAAATTACTATTTGTTTTTGATCAAAAGGTACCAACAATTTCCATTCAGATATGTTTGTTTTTAGATCAATTTCAATCTACAGTGGCGAGTTTTGAAAAGGGAGTATTAGGTTGTTTCAGAAATTTTGCCTGTTTTTATGAGTCTACTTTGAACTGTAATAACTGAAAGTCTTCAAAACCGCAACACGTGTTTTGCTATACGATGTCATCCTCAAGCGTCTATCCAGTTTCAAAGAATGATACTAATTGTATGTAACCGTAACTAACTTTGGTGATCCTACTAATAATATTGCCTGTTTTTTAAAAAGCAAAAAATTGGACGTAGCCTACAGAACAAATAGTTTGAGTGAATTCATTAAAAACAATAAAGATGGATCTCCAGTGTCAGATATATTGAGAATATACAAGTTGACTTGTGATTCTTGTCCAACATTTTATATAGGACAAACCGGAAGAACTTTTTCCAAAACCATGAAAGATCATAGATGTAGTTTTTTGAATGGAAAGACCAATTCAACATTTGCGAATTATTTTTTGACAGAGGGGCACAAGTGCAATCACGATTATGATGTATTGCATTTGGAAAAGGAGGGTTCAAAACTCTACCTTTTAGAAATGTTAGGAAATCAATAGATGTAAAAATTCTGGATTATTGCTGAATGATGGAATAGATTTAAATTGTTCCTATTTATTGAATTCAATTTGCAATGAGGAAATTGCTAATTAGGACAGATCTTAAAAATAGGTAAAAAGCTGGCTTAGGCTAGTTGTTCCTATAGTCCGTTCATAATTTGTTGATAGCTCACTGCAAGTTTGACCCTCATTAGAGAACTGAAATACAGAGAGGACAGCTAATATGATATAATAACAAAAACCAAACTAAAACTGGCAGTTTAAGATGTTTTCGACTAACCCACCTTGTATCTGAAGAAATACAATACAGCTATAAAACTTTTAATCCGATTATGTAGGTATTTTGAGTGGAAATGAGTGACCAGTGTCGTAGAGTATATGATTAAAACATTAGTTACTTTAAATAAATAAATATATTAATATTCTTAAACTGNCCATCGCAAGCAATCAAACAAAACAAGCAGGAACGAAAGGTACGTATATGTTTGTAGGAATATGAAAAAAAGTTACTCACGCACTGCACAAAATTCGCAAAATAAATATTAGAGACGTTAATTACTGCCGTAGACGCCGAAACACCAACGAGCCGTAAATTAAATGCGATTAAAAAATGTACTAAACCAAAAATTATTTTCGTTCGTAACAACTTCACCCTTTCAAGGCAAGTTTCGAATATAAACTGAAGCTTTATATTTAATGAATAAACACCTCAGGAACCTCCGCCTATGATTTTACGAGTTTTACGACCGTTTTATGACTTGGGCCCTCATTTTGTGCTATTGACAAATTATGAACGGACTATAGATAGGTAAATAGTGTAGGTAATGAATTTATCATGTAGAAATTTGGCAGGTAGTTATATTCTGGTTTTGTAAACTTTCCACATTAAAATGTGCTTTTTGAACACATCAAGTATTAGCCTGTTCTATCATGTTTCAAATAATCGTCAAAGTATTTTTGGTACTTTTTATTTTCATCTTAAAATACACTATACAATAATTATAAACCATCATATTTATTTTTTGGCATGTATTAATACTGTTTGTGCAATGTTGGTAGACCCTTCTATCCTTTTCTTGTGGGTATTTGTCAAAAATTCAGACAAGCTGCTGCTCTGAGTGGTCACTGTCGAATCTCTCGGTTTGCGTTTTTTCTTCTTGCAGATCCACTTGCATGGCGGTAGTAACCTGAATGCAGTGTCAATGTAGTTTTCATCATCACTATACAGATATTTGAGAGTGAACAATTTTCTTTCAATGCCTTTTTACTATACTGTTCTCGATTATTATATACTAGACCAGGGGTTCTCAAACTTTCAGGAACTGCGACCCATTTTTTTGGTTGAATATGTTGGCAACCCCCAAGTTTTAACTCTAAAACAACATTTAACAAAAAACCACATTGAAGGCTAAGTTTTTGCATGAAAACATTAGTAACTAGTAAAATAAACATTAATTTTTGTCACTTGATTTATTTTATAATAGAATACAAAAAACTTCTATGTGCATTTGAAGCTTGAATGTAATATTTTCATTAATGAAAAACTACAGCGATGACTGATTTTTTTTCTTTTCCTCTAGATCTCGTGACCCCCCTGGACACCTTCCGTGACCTCCCTGGGTTTCGCGACCCACTGTTTGAGAACCCCTGTACTAGATAATACAATAATTTCTGAACATAACCTGTTTATGACAATGGGGAATGTTCCATAAAGAAGGTG